GTGGTTAATCTGGAGATAAAAATCTTACAGAAGTGGTGTTATGGCTCAAGTGGTAGAGTGCTCACCTTGAGCTGAAGAGTGCAAGGATAGCACCCAAGCCCAGAATTCAAGCCCCATGACTGACCAAAAAAAAAAAAAAAATCTTACAGATTTGCCTGCCTGGGCTGGCTCTGAACTGTGATCCACAGAACTCAGCCCCCTGAGTAGCTAGGATTACAGGCATGAACCACCAGTGCCTGGCTTATTTTTAGACTGCTTTAGGCAAATGTCAGGGAGTTATGTAACTGTAAACAGAATAACCATGAAAAGAATCCTCTACTGTGGTGGGACAACTGCCAGACAACCCGTTCTTGAGCTTGCTGCGAGGACTTGTGAGCCTTCTGTAAATTCTTTATTAGTAATTTGGATATTACATCTAAAAAGAAGCAATCACTGCCTGTTTGTATCCCCTGGAAACCATTGTTCATAAAGGAATATCTTGTGTGGCACTGTTGTAAAGACTGTACTAGAATATTACTTTATGAGACTCGGGCAAATCCAAAACTGCTTTGGATTGTCTTTCTTACTCAAAATCTATGTGAACCACAAGAGAGGTCTACAGGCTGAAGAGAGAGGCCATTATTATTCCATTTTGGAGCCAGTAGGCATGAATAATTTAAGGGTCATATCGGTAAAGGAACAAATGTCAAAAACAAATTGACAACCATTCTTTGAGCAAAGTATGGTTCATTTTCAAAAGGTCAGTTTGGTAGTTTCCTTGAGTAAGTTCTGAAATCTTCGCTTCCATTTTCACATTTCGCACGAGCTCCAGGAAAACACATTTTTTAGTAAGTGTTAAGGGCACCCTTGGCTCGTAGTAATTGATATTCAGCAAGTATATTACAGCCCAGGAGGAACTGTGAAGAGCTGGCAGTTTCTCCATCCAGTTGGGTAGCAGGGATCAGAGTGCGACATTGTTCCTGTCGACTGCTCTGCTCACTTAAATGTGGCATTTACACTTGAGACACTCTGCCTAAGCAGAAACTGACTAGGACACACACTCCGATTGTATAAAGTAGTGCTAGAACCACTGGCTCAAGGGCCCGATGTAGCTCATGTGCTTTCTTTTATCTGTCCTGGGAAAGTTTTCTAGATTTATTTATTGGTCAGGCCATCTTTCTCTGCTGTTAAAATGCAATTCCACCTCCAGCTGTACCCGTGCATTTTTGGTCTCCATCTCTGATGGAATAAGATAGTTCACTGCATCTCTTCACTGATCTAAGTGAATTATGTGGAGGTTAATAACAGTACTCACTGCTTGTAGTCCGTGGTGAAAACTGACCTGCACATATGAGCCCAGACAGAACACAAGAAGGAGGAATTAATGTTAACTTCATTTTATTTTGAGACAGGGTCTCAGTATATAGCCTAGGCAGGCCCTGAACTCATAAGCTTCCTGTCTTAGCCTCCTGAAGGCCGGGATTATAGATGTATGCCACTAGGCCCAATATAACTGTTGTCTCTATCCTAAGGCTGAAAATGGGTGGTCCAATTTCTCTGTTAATTAGCCCACACAAATCATGCTCACAAACCAGAGAAATGGTTCAGCAGAAAGGCATGGTGTCCTAGTTTGAGCACTGTCTGGACATTTGACCTTGGGTTAATTACTTACCTCTTTAAGCAAATTGAGGACACTAGGCCATACTAGTATTTGTAACTGTTTCACTAGAGGCCCAGGGCGGAGTTGTGAGATCTTAACTCTCCCTTTAGTCTGAAAAGCTCAGCTTTTATCTCTTTTATATTAGGACTTCATAGAAGATTTTGCTTGAAAAAATCCTAATATATTATAAAATTCTGCTTATAAATGAAGTTTAAGACCTGTTGCCTCACATCATCTTTAACTTTCTAATTGCTAGAAATGTATTCACTTAAGGCCAATACTGATGTGTTTGGACTCTAGAAATATGTCAACTGTATCACAATGAGAGGGGAAACTGAAGGTTACATTTCTATGATCTTCCCTACCTTTTTTGTTTTATGGTTGGTATAAGAGATGGCCAGTTAAAGAATATTTCTTACCATCCTTCCCTCCCTTTCTGTCCTCTGGCTTTCTTCTGAGAATTTAGAAATTCTAATACATGCCAGCAGTTGCATCAGGACTAGAGATCATCTCTGCTCTTAAACTCAGGAAGAAAGACAGAAACCAATAAAAAAAATCAAGATTGACCACCTGTGAAAATGTTAGAGAGTGAAATGAGAGGACACCATAGATGTTTTGAGCAATTTAGATGAGGTTCTGTGGGAAACCTAGTGTAAGGAGATGGCTACATACGAGGACCGAGGCTGGGTAGAACTATGGTTCAATGACTGGGCTTTATTCAGCCACCCCGCCTTTGGCTATGGCTGCTATCTTTTCAAATGTGGCTGTCATTTCTAATAAGCAGGAATGTCCAGGGCTGAAACAGTAACAGCTGGTGTCTGTCTGTCTGTCTCTCTTTAAGAGGTAGGCATTTAGCACTTGAGAAAAATACCTATAGAAAATATGCTTTCCAATCACTAGTTTTATTTATTGTTCTTTGAGAAGGTAGTCTATCAACTTGGTTCAAAACTCAAAAATAGAGTTGTTGGGCTCTGGGGCCAGGCTGCTTAAGTTCAAATCCTAGCCCCAGGTTTCTGCCTTTGTAGTTGTAGGATCTTGGGAAAGTGACTTAAAAACTTTGTGCCTCAGTTTCCTCAGCTGTCACACAGGTACACTGGAGAACATATACAGGGTTATCTTTCTCATAGTGATGTTATGAGGGCTAAATGTAACAGTTTAGCACAGACTCTGGCATACAGTAAGCACTAAATGAATGGTGCTGTGCAACAGAAACTTCAAGGAAGAGTCAGACTGCCCACAACCATACTTCCCTTTCCTTTCTGATGATAAGAACTAGAAATGTGAGCCATTATTTTTGTTTGACAAACACTTTATAGGGATGGAGGAAAACTCTATCTCAGTGTATAGGTCAGTACTCACTGCACTAGGCTGTATGACGCATGATTAACCAAATAGGAAACAGTAGTTTTTGATGGTATAAATGAACTACAAAATACCCAAGCACATGAAAAGAAGGGAAGGGGCTGATGAAAAAATTAAGGGTGACAGACAGAAGGGTCTTCTGATCTGATTAACACTGGCCAGAACATTTCCACAATCCTCTGAATATAATTTGTTCTCAGAGGAAGTTCTGTTTACCTTCAACATAATGGAGCTCATGCTGCCAGAACTGAGCTTTGAAATGGAGACTTTAAGATATTCTTCTAGCCACTTATTACTAATATCTATCTTGGGTGCCTTCACTCAAGGACCACAGTCTCAGTTGCTGTGGCTTATTTAGGATACTTAACATAACATATTATTTGTTCCTTCACAGCAAGGTCTCCTCCTGACAGCCAAGATTCTATTTTTCTGTCATAAGTAATTATAAATGTGCACCTCTACAAAGATTCCCAATTTGAGGGGCATAATCTATTTCACACAGTAAATCACAGAGACATCTCCATCCCCTGGGTGACCAAAATGTGCAACTCAGATGTATGAGCTCTCACTTGGAACTTTCCATACTTGAAGAAAAATGGGGAAGCTCCACTTCCTCCTTGGAGCAGTTAAGAAAAATAACCAAAACAAAAAACAAACCCAAACTCGATAATCTGGCACTTTTGTTGGACATTTTCCTGTTTTTTAAGCTTTAGGTATGAAACTATTGTCTTCAAAATTCAACCTACGAAATTGTCTAAGTGAAGCCTGCTTGAGGTAATTTGTTATTCCAATTATAAACTTGACCTCACCCCTGCACCTCCCCTCTCAGCCCCTCAGTTTTCACCAAAGATTCTTTTGTGTTCTTCTACCTCGTATTCCAGACAGTAACCAAGCCCCTCCTCATAACCAGAAGCTAACTTCATCTTCATGGCTCTTGCCCACAATGGGACACTTTCCTTACTGCTTCCATCTGGCGTCTACATTGCTAATACTTATCATATTGATGTGATAGCTTTACTTCAATGAACAAAATCTGTGTCTCTGCATTATGGAAAACGTGTACAAGCATGTGTCACTTAATGATGAGGATATGTTCTGAGAACTACAATGTTACTCAATTTTGTTGTGTGTGGCTATCAGAAAGGTGGCTGCTGCTTATGGAAACCAAGAAGTTATACTTCAACCACACGACGTGGTGAATTGGGTCTGCTGCTGGTGTGGCATGGCATATTGGTTAACAGTAAACTTCCTTGTTTTGGAAGTAGTAGTACATTCTAACATAATGACAAAAGTGTAGCAGTGACAGTCATATTATCATCATGTGTCATGTGCTGTACATAATTATATGGTAATGTAGTTTCTTGCTACTGGCAGACAGCATCTCCACACACACGTAACCAATGCAGGACAGTGTGATATTACAATGGCTATGCCATCACTAGGTGACAGGAAATTCTCAGCTCCAATAAAAGCCTATGGGACCATTGTCATATATGATGTTGGCTGAAACATCATCATGCTGTGTGTGGCTGTTTCTCAGTGATGTGGAGAACTGGCTCCGCTTTATAATCATTCCAATAAGTAGAATCTGGTAGGCACTATTCTAAGAGCTCACACAGTAAAGCATCATTAATACCTCACTGAATCTTCATAAGAAAGTACCAGATGGGAACTATCTAGTATTGGTATTATTTTACACAGGCAATAACTGGAAGTCCTAGAGGTCACACAGTGGGAATTAGTAGAGCTTGAATTCAATCCAAGGTCATTGATACCAAAGCCAGGAATTTATGCCTTAGATGATATTTTGCCCTAGGATCAACTTGTAGAAGAACACTAGCAATTTCTCTATATTCTATGTAGGGAACGAACTCACCACTCTAAAAAGTGAGTCATTTTGGATGTATAAACCTAAGTGATTAACATTAATGAGGGCAGTGGCTTATTTTCTCTATTTAGAGCATTGTTTTTGTATGCATACAATTTTTCATATTCCTACCTTGAGCACTCATACTTCCAGAGGAATCCAGGTTCTGCTCTGCTGACTGTTGGCTGGGAGGAACAATTGGTGGGCTCAACATGCTTAACCAGTCCCTAAAAATAAAGTAAAATAAATGAACAACACACTAATTCCTTATATAGCTTTTGTTTTTCCTGCAATTTTACTACTCTTCCTGAAGCTTTAGCAGAGAAATATTTCTTCATTCATCTGGACACCCTTCAAGAAGTCTAGATATTAATATTCCATCTTATAAATTGTTAATATGGAGATCAGTCACAACTAGCCAGTTGCTTGATAAATTTATTAAATGCTACTATTTCTGTTTATTATTATTACATTAAATAGTAGCATGATTTTTCTCTTACATAAAAATTATTTCAGTAACTCAGAAGTAGAAATAGTGTTCCTTATGTTCTTTGGGTAAGAAAGTCTGACAATGGTCCCTGTTAATGTGGCATGGATGGCAACATTCCCCACATAACTCCAGTCAGGAGTCATTCTTGGAGTTGCCATGGGATTACTACAGGGGCTCAGGGTGGGGATTCATATTAACAGTGGGCTGTAGAACAGCAGAAGGCAACAGAGGGGAAGAGGGGGTTGTTGGGCCTCAAAGAACTCATTAATGTAAAAGTTCTCCTGTAAGCCCTTCCTGCATTCCCTGCTCAAACTTCCAACCACATGCTCTGATCTCTTAACTCTCCTTCCCTCTCCATTTTCCCAGTCTCTTGTTCCCTTTAGGGAATAGCGTAGGTACACTTCTCAGGTTGGTGACTTCCAAAGTCATGTTACTGTGTGCTCTGCTTCTGATCTGTAAACTTGCTCCTCTGAGCTTCTTAGGTGTAGAAGGGTAGGCAAGGGAATATATAGAATTTTCCAGTATGAATTCTATTTCTTCATGGATACTGCAACCTGCATTGTTTCCTTGTTTTTTTTTTCTTGAAAAGAGCATGTCCAAATCTGTCTAAATTTCTGTATTTCCTATTCTTTATCTACCGTGAAATATATTCCCAGTCAAGAGCCAAGAACACAAGCTCTGAAGTCCAAGGCAGACCCCAAGTTTCTAAGAGTAAGAACTTGGCTCAGTCACTTAATATTGCCATTCTTCACCTGCAAAAGGAAGATAATGACAATGCTTCAGAGTGTGGTTGTCAGGATTAAGTGGATGTCAAACATTTGGTATGGGTCTGGATACAGTCATCCTTCAGTAAATTTCAGTTATGGCACCATTTTCAGTGAAGATCACTGGTCTTACCAACAGTGATAAACTGAAGTAAGGTTTTAGGTTTTTAAGACTTACACCGGTAAAGCACTGAATGACTACCAGCTTATACAGCTGAATTTTCCTTGCAAGCCCCATTTGTCAGTATAAAAAGTACTTCACTATAAAAATTACTCAATTCCTATTTGCACTATTTTTGAGACTTTCATTCATTGTTCACCATAACCATCACTAGATTATGGCTGGTGAAGTGAGGGGTGAGCATGCTGTGTAATTGAATTTCATCATAATACATGAAGGGTAGCAGAAGGTATTTGTCACTGACTTATTTCCAAGCTAATAGGGCATTTTCTGATAAGTACCTTTTATTTCATCCATTTAATTGGAGCAAGCAAAAAAAATTCTCACATTATAGAAAATTACGAGGTCATATACAAATTACCAGTCAGGACCTCATCACTCAATAAAAAAAGAGAAAAAAATGCTATCATCTTATGACAGCTCAGCTACCGCACAGGAACTCTGCATCATGACAGTAGGTGTGCCTAACTCTCTTGGTCCACAGAGTGAGGGAGATACAGGTGACTATTGTGAACGTGTTATGAAAAGCAAAATAGTTACTTCTCAGGGCAATGATTTTGTTAGGGTTATTCCTCCTCAATAATAACTATGGAGAGTACAGGTTTCTCTTTTTCCTGTGATTAAATAATCCCAGATTTATAGAGGAGTGGCAAGATTACAAAGACCTTCTGTATATCCTTCACCAAGATTCCAATTACTCCATCTTTGTTATGGAGTTAGCAAGTCACTAAGTGTTGTCAACTATCGCATAGTCTGAAAATTAAACATTTACATTTAAATGATTTCTTTCTTCCTTTCTTGCTGGTTTCTATTTTAAAAGTGGTTGTATACATAAAACATTAACAATTTAAGTTAAAAGTACACAGAAAGGTATATTCAGGTAAGAGTCATATTATGCAAAAAATAAGCACAGGCATTTCTTTAAAAAATTCATCTTCTTATGCAAAAGGTAGCATGCCATAGTCATTCTTTTGTACTTTCTGTTATTTGCTTTTAGAAAAAACATAATTTTATTGTTATTATTAAGATGTACAGAGGGGTCACCATAAGTTAGGTAAGTACATTTCTTTTTGAACAATGTCACCCCTTTCCTTTTCTTTCCCCCAGTTTCTTCCTCCCATCCCTACCCACAAGTTGCATAGTTCATTTTCCACATAGTGAATATTCTGTGTAGTTTCCTTCTGCTATACCTTACAAAATACCCTCCAGAGAATTCCACAGTAGTTCATAGAACTTCCTCAGTCTTTGTCCCATCTATCTATTGCTCTACCATGTGGATATACCTTGATTTTTTCCACTCACAACTGCCCTGTTTGGACATCTTTACTAATACTTGGTGAGACTCATTTGGTTACTCCTCATGAGAGAAATCTGAATTTTAATCACTTGTAATCATACTGTTCTGGCTTCATGTAGTTCTTATATGAACCTATAAATCAATTGATTGTACTAGGTCTTCCCAAACTAGATCTGAAAAGCAGAGGCAGTATTCCGATGAAGATGGAGCTGAAAGAAGTGAAACTCCGATGCTCCTGGTGACCACATTTCCTGTCACATGAAGGAAGCTAGTTTAAAAAAGAAAACAAAAGACTTTTCAGTCTGGATACAGGGGTGGGGGAGGGGATGAAACAGTAGAGACACCAGTGAATGAACTGTGGAAACGGAATGAGATAAAGTAGAAGTTTGACACAAGAAGAGTCTGAGTTCTTAGTAGTACAAACATGTGCTAGAAATACTGTATTTAGGTATCTATTACTAAGTCCTAGCCTAAGTTCTCAAATGTGTTGGCATATTTCCAAAGCCATCAACATCATCATCATCCTACTCCAATCCTCTTGCACCTCTTGCTTACTCCTTCCCAATCCAGAGTGAACTTGAAGTAAAATCTCAAAAGTCTTGGTTTAAAGCCTTACATGCTATAGTCTTTACTATGTCTCCGGCCCATTTTTCTTCCTTCTCACTGTTACCACAAATGATCCTCAGGCTTCACAAGGAAAACCATATCCTTAGTCTATTTTTCTTACAATGTACGAGTTGACTCTCTTTAGCCTTCAGCTTTCAGCTTACCTGTTACTTCAGAGATTGTTGCTTGAGTTCTAGGCCTACCAGTGGACACCCTAGCTGGAAAAACTTGGCATACTCAAATTAGGATGACTTAATTAAGATTAAGAAAGGACTCATTATAAAGGTGAGCAAGGTATAGGGAAAGCACAAAGGATAATATAGACTACCAGGATGGTTGCCTCCTCTAGGCTTTAAGGGATGAGGAAAGATGATCAGAATCCAGAAAGCAAAAGATTTGGAGGGCCTGTTTGAAAAAGCTGAGATTTTGGGCCAAGGTTTGCAGTGAGCCTGAGTTAGTTTTATACAGAGGGAACATAGGAAAAGCAACCCTAACTTCCTTCTTTGTTCTCCTCTCATTTCCATTGGCTGAAGCCCATCAGAAGCAGAAAGCAATGGAGTTATTGATATAGTTATATGCCCAGTAGCTTCTCTGGGGGCAAAGAGAAGGATGTAGAATGTAGGACTATAGACCTACAGAGCTGAAAGAATGTATTTGGACAAAATCCTTTGTGATTTCTTGACAGTCATCTCAGTGTGTAATTATCCACTTAGCTGTGTGATTGAATTATGTATACCTTTCCACCAAATCTAAGCTCCACAGAGCAGGCAGTCTTGTCTGTCTTCTTTAAGTATTAGATTCTCAATTTTTGCTGAATGAATGAATGAATAATTGTAGGAAGGCCAAGGCTACAAGAGAATGGCATATGAGAGCCAGATTGGACAGCTGATACACTCTGAAGAAGATCCTATAGGAAGAAGGGTAGGAGAACATGATTTGAGAGCAACAGGAGGAACAACAAGAAATCTGAAAAGGCAAATAGTTGGGGATGCCACGAGAATTATGCTTGCCAAAAATTTCTTCTCCTTCCTGACGAAAAGTAGTCCCAGTACATGTTTACATTATGGTAACATCTGTAGTAGACTCACATCTCTTTCAAGTTGGAAAAGATATGCATAAACAACTGCAGTATTTTCATTTCACATCAATCCAGGTTCGTTTGGAGACATATAATAAGCACTCATACAAATGGGAAATCATTCTCCTAGCCTCTATACAATCACTTCTCCTGCCCATATCTTTTGTCAGAAAAATCTATAAAGCAAAGAGGACTGAGCTCCCAACAAATGCTCTATGCTCCAAGAAATCACAAAAAGCATTAACTTCTTTATACTCATTTAAATATGCTTTATGTTCTCTGCAGAACTGAATATTTTTCTGGCTTGACAGTATTTCCCCTTGGGTTAAGAAAATATTGATGACATAGCATCATAGGATCATTTTCTAGACATTGCCCCATTAGATATGGCAGATAATTCAACTCTAGGGACACAAATCCAGGCATCAGACATCAAATTCAACTACAACACATGAACAGTAATACCAACTAGAGACAGCATAGAAGACAGTTTTCCTTCTCTATTCTATTCTATTATCAGCTCTTTTATAACTTTAAATTTAATATATGTTCCCCTGTAGTGTTGCAGACTTTATGTTGAATATTGAATACGATAAGACATAGTTCCTGCCCTTGAAGAATTCACCTTATTGGAATAGATATTTGGACCAAAATTTATAAGAGTAAAGTAAGTGTTAATTAGGAATTGGTCCAGGGAACATAGAAACCTGGGAGACTAGTTCAGGGAAGGCTGACTAGCAAAAGTCAAGAAAGGGTTATTCCTGAAGGATGAGAATGTGGCAGCAAGGTAAAAGAAAAGACACACACTCCC